GTATTATTTTGGTTGTAAAGCTTGCAACAAAAGAGTCATCAAAACTGGAACCAAAGTTAAGCTCTTGAATGGTAAAGAGATCATTACTCATATTTGGTGGTGCGAGACATGCAAAGACAATGTCTTTGAAGTTTCACCAAGGTTTGATTTTAAATTAATTTGATACTGGCTATGTTTCACAAACCTACTTCAGGTACATCCACTGTCGCGTATATATATAATATATGTAATAAATTTTTATGCTCCTTTGTACAGATTCTGGCTGCACTTGATTGTTAGTGATGATACAGGCGTATCGAAAATAATGATATTAGATAAGGTTGCTAATGGGATTGTTTCTGAAAGTCCAGAAACACTCTTGAATGGAAGCTGGGATGAGGTATTTTTATTGATACATATTAATAGGGTTTTTTCAGTTGTTAAATATTCTATGAAATTAACATACTATATTTATATACTATGCAGCTTGACGATCCAACATTAGTACCAGATTGTATTGCTGATTTGGTTGGCAAAAACTTCACATTTGGAGTCTATGTTGAGAAAGAAAATGTTGCATATGGTGCTGAAATATATAAGGTTGGGAAAATCTATAAAGACAGAATGACCAGTGTTCCTGAGAAAATCCCAGCTATTCAATCCGAAAAGCAGTTGACAATTACCAGTGGTGATGAGGTACCATTGTCTAATTTCTCATCAATAATATTGTGTGAAACTTAACTGATATTACTATGTTAGCATAGATAACATAATGAACTGTATACAGGATTCTATCAACATAAGTGAAAGTGAAGAAACTGTTGATGATTTTTCTACACCATCCAGTAAGAGAAAAGATGAGGAAATTATTGACCAGGATGACCTCGGTTCAGCATCCAAGAAACCATGCATGATGTCGATCAAGATTGAGAAGGTTGAAGAGGCTAATAAAAAACGTTGAAGACTCATTTATAGGAGTTGGTTTCATGTGTTTTTTTTTCCATTATGCATTATTTAGCACTACTTATGTTTGGATTTTTCTTTCAATAATTATATTAAGATACGGTTTTTTCTACTTAAGTTGGTGTTTCTTTTTTATTTTGTCCTACTGATTAGGTTTCTTTTTTTGAGAAATTGGGACACATTAGAAACGAAAATATTTATTTCATTTTTAAAGACAACACATAGAATTGCATGATGAACATTAAGGCTTCTTATTTGAATTACAAACCAGTGGAGAAATACATACTCATCAAAGTAGAATACAACAGAAATTAGAAGTTCAACACGGTTTTCATGGACTACTTATTCAACATTCTAGAGAAGAACACAAACATTAAACATACGGTGTGAGGGTTGCAGTTGTATTGTTACCAAAGTTACACCAAGGTAATTAGGTTATTCCAAAATCTGATCGTACTATATACTTATTTATTACTTATTTTATATTGGCTAATGCTAAAACAATGTTAGTTATTATTGTTTTCAGGTACAAGTTGAAATTGCTTGTGCAAGATCTAACAGGTGAGTCAAACTTAATGCTTCTCGACGCAGCCGCAAATACTATTATCAACGCCTCTGCAGCAAAACTCCTAAATGGTTCTCATAATAAGGTTATCAACTACTTAATACTGTTTTTATAAGAACATTTTATATCATCTGAGATTCTTACTACATTCAATCTTACTATATTTAACAGATCGAAAATCCTGAATTACCAAGTGAGATTGTTGAGATCGTAGGAAAGACTTACGGCTTTGGGATATGCGGAGATGATGAAAACAATGTTTGTGGAGCAGAAACGTTTGAAGCCTTGAAAGTTTGGAATCTTGATAACATTCTAAAGAAGAGAATCAAGTCATTGCACCAGTTATCAACGAAGAAACAATGCAGTGTCAGAGGAATTGAAAAAAATGTCTAATTATGAAGCCAAAGACAAGAAGAGCGGCTAATTCTCTTATCCCGAAGACAAGATCATCATCAGTTTTTTTTTTTTATGTTTTACTTATGCTATGGTTTTACGAACTGAATAATGCTGTTTATGCTTTCTTTCTACTTTGGTTTTTTTTGTGGCTTTTATGAACGCATCAATAAAGTTTTCGATCGAACTACCAATACTAAAATTTTGATTCATGATAAGGAAAACACAGAATTGATGAGGCTCGATAGCCTCAGTACATAAAAAATCAACTTCTAACTAAAATCATTAACACACTTGGTATACATTTTATATAAAAACACATTTGTTATAATAAAAAATAAATGTCACATGAAACATACCCGCGCTTCCGAAGCGCGGGTCAAAATCTAGTAATATTTTAAAAGTCAAAGAAAAAATGTATCCACTTCACTTATCGAACAAAAATGTGAGAACTTTAACAGTAATCTCCGTTTATCATTTGGTAATTCATACTAAATTAAAGCAAAATATCATTTGGTAAGTCTATTCTTACAAGAAATGAAACATTTAAATAATCAGTTTTTGCAATGGCTAAAAGTTCGACAAGAAATCGAGAATCTTGGAAGAAACATTTAAAGTTCTGGTTACACTCGTATTAACTGTAACGTCTCCCGTATTTACAGCTTCTGCGGGATCATAAGTGCGTCTCTCAACTTTAGCAGATTCAAATTCTGCAGCAAGTTTCATGGAAGAGTTTAGAGAACTTTGAATGTATGAGTTAGGCGTTGTCTTGACGTTTCTACTCCTTGCTGGTTCTTCCAATTCATATGATAAGAAACTGATTCCTTTTGGAGGCACCAAAGGAACTGTGCTTCTCTGTTGTGACTGCTTCAAGCTCTGATTATCAAACATAAGTGTGTTTTGCTTAGACCCAGGAGACGGTTTCATAGTATCCTCCTCTTGTGTGGTTTTGTCTAAGGAGAGAAAACACATACCCTTTGGAGCAACGGATGGTTCTCTCAAAGAAAAAAACTGTGGAGGTGTTGCATGTTCATTGGTCTTTGAAGATGATGATGCATCAGATGAGTTTCTTTTGTTAGATTGACTAGAGGGCTTCAAAAACGCAGCTGAGCTTGAAATTCTTGCTTGATTCGCTGGTAATTTGGCTAGGGCCTCCCTCACGGTTTGGTTATCTGAAGACGCTGCAGCGATGTTAGTTGGTGAGGTCATTACATTTACACTCGGTCTATCTGAAGCAGCTTGTGGAATACCCTGTTAAGTGAAGATAAGAAGATCAATATATATTTTTATTAGACTTGAAGGAAGAAAGACCGAGAATGATATTTTACCTTGTGTGAAAAAAAACATCTATCACCCCTATAGCAGAAACCTCTGCTCTTGATATTGTTGCAAGGGTATTTGAAGAGATCATGGTCGTACGGACAATCATCTCCTTTCATACATGACTGAGTTGCAAAGTGGCGGCAAGGCTGAAACAACAAAGAGACACCGAGTATTATGAATAGATACAAGCAAGAAAACAATATACGATTAGCTTTTTTGTCTAAATGATTGATGATGCAATATAAAGTTCAGAAGAATAGTATGTCTTGATACAATAAACCATACCAAAGATTTGGTTTCCGGAGTTGTATCGTGTGAAAATTTGCATTTGTCTCCCTGCAAAACATGGTAAAAGTTTTACATCAAACAAAAAAGACTAGATTATAAATAATCTTGTGGAATCCAGAGCCCTTGTGCATACCTCATGGCACCGTCCCTTGAGATGGTGTCGACAGTAATTTATATGTTTTGGTTTTGGAGCTACTGGTTTAATTTTCAGCTTCTTCACGCCCAGTGATATACGCTCTTGAGCTCTTTTCTTCCGAGCTTTTGCCTGCATGAAAATATAGCTCATCAATAAGCAAACATCTTATTCCACACACACACAAGAAAAAAACTGAATGCAAGATATTCCCATAATAATATGTTACTTTCTTTCTAGCTTTTGCTTCCTTAGAAGGCGCAGACCTGTTCTTTATGCAAGTTCCAGAAGCCATCTGCAGATAAAAATGTAAAAAACATAAGTCAGAATTTGAAAAAGACATACAGGAGATGAGAAAATAATCAGCAACATAGCATTTTGGATTGTTTATTCTGGATATACCTTTTCTTGGTGTTTGGAAGTTAGATAATTCTCATTTACTCCAGAAAAAAGACTAGAACAAGTACTCTTGCTAGCCTCTTCTCCTATTTTGTCCAATAACTCTTGTGAGACATGAAAGTCCTCGAGCAAATCATCTCCTAGGAGCATATAATCATTATCATCCCCTGATATCTCTCCTTCTTCGACATCATCGTCTTCAACAATCTGAAGAATAGAATCTGTCAAAACCTGACTACTAGTAACAAGTTCCATCTCTTTAGTCTCCAAGATTCCACAACTTACAACTTCATTACCTTCAGCTAATTTGGAAACTTCAAATCCAGAAACCTTGTTATCACCCTCTACTGAATCTACTAGAAGCTCAGTGGCAATACCAGGCTTCTCTGCATCACTCTGAATTAGATCACTTGCTTGTTTGGGCATACCATCATCATCATAGTCATCCACATCCAATGCCTCAAAGAGATGCACACAATTTTCTGGAACAATAAACTCAAACTCATGGAAAAAATCTTTGTATTGACTATGTTGCAAGTCAAAAACATCTCCAAGCATCAAACTCTTTTCCTGTGAAACCGTTTCCTCGAGGAAGGATGAATTCACAGGCAGCTTTACATCATTACATACTTCTCCAGGAGACACTTGAGTGATATGATCTTGTGTCAAGAAACACAATATGTATTAGAAACAGGATCATATTATTCTCTTCTTTTTGAACTTAATTAACAGATAGAACTCTTCAACTGTAGTTGAACTCACCTGTTCTTAAGACCAGGTTCTGAAGAACAGACGGTGCGGTAAGAGGGATTTGGTGGCTCTCCCGATCGAAACTGGAGCAGAGGTGATGAAGCAAAGAGCGATAAGTAAGAGTCGGCAGAAGAGGACGCCGGAGAGGTACGGAATTTTCCATCGTCTCCGCCTGAAATTATGGAATCCGATGCCAATTCAGTCACCTTCGTCGTCTCGCTGTGTGGAGAAATTTTGAAAATCCTCTTTGTATGTAAAGGAAGGTAAGGTGCGGAGATTCCTTGTTGTTAAAAAAAAAAAAAAAAAAAAAAA